CACCTCGGACTCAGTGATCCTCCTGTTTTCAGCCTCCCCAGCCTTGGGATTACACAGCCCGCCCTGGGGGCGAGGCTGGCATGGCATGTGGTGCCAGGGATTGAACCGCGGTCCCTGTGCTTGCCTAAGCTTGCCTAAGCAGGCCCTATAGTCTGCTGAGCTATCTTGCCAGCCCTGCATTTTCTTTCAAATGAGAAAAATTAAACAGTAGTGTTGAAATGTGCATTTGGGTAATTAAACTATAAGGAATATAATATAATGTAAATGCTACATAAATACAGTAGTATTGTCTGGGAAATAAATGACAAAAAAGTATGCATGTTCAGTACAGATGAAATTTACTTTTTAAAATATTTTTATACTTTTAAAAATATTTTCAATCTGTGGTTGACCACATCTACAGATGTAAAAACCACAGATATTAGGGCTGAATGTTTTCAGGAAGCACTTAGAACATAACACCTAGCACACAGTAAGGAGTCACAACAGGAGCCCTAGAGCAGACACTGTTGGCAGCAACCATCATCAATTTCTCCTTTCCATCAGCTCCCAGCCTAGTGCTTGCTTTTGTATGTCTCAGGAAAGCTGCCCATGCTCTCAGCTCTTGGCAGGTCTGTTTTAATGGCCTGCTTTTTGAGAAAGGTCATGAAGAATGTCAATAAGTCAACTCCATATTCTCAGTGGAAAATTATCTGACACTAGATATGTTTGGAGAGGATTGGAAAACAGTAAATGATTTATCAAATAGTATGAAAAATGAGTATTATTTAATCAGGTTCTGAGCATCCAGGGTACCTACCATGTGACCAGACTAATAGAAATAGGAAGTAATCCCAAAAGGTCATGAAATGCAAAGATTCTCAACTCTCTGAGGGGCCACCAACTTTCTTGTCCACATCCTGCCTCACAGAACAAAGATAGTGCCATCTTATCTCTCAAATTTAAAAGCCATGAGACTATAAATTATCTTCTTCAGGTTTATATTCCCATGGAAAGATTATTTTATTTAATCCAATCCTTGAGGTTCATGGCAGGTAGATGAAATCCTAATCATTCCAAATTTTATGACACTAAAGTAGCCCTTAGCACAGCTGTATTCCTTAAGGCAGTACAAAGGTCAAGTATACGAACTCTATGGCAAGAATGCCAGGGTTCAAATCCTAGCTCGTCCTCTTAGAGCTTTGTGACTTTGGGCAAGCTGCTGTCTCAGTTTCTCCAACACTAAAATAAAAATAATAGTATTATGTCTCTCACAGGAATCTTACAAGTATCTTAATATATATGTAACATCTCAAACATGCCTGTAACACAAGGGCTAGTGATAATGATGAATGTCACCAATAAGGCCCCATCTGGAGTGGCTGAGACATGTTAGTCCAGAAATGGCACAGCTGACAGTGCTTAAGCCTGGTAATCCCTGCCTAACACCAATAAAAAAGTTTCAGGGAGAAAAGACTAGCTTATCAAATTCTACATTTCTCAGCTAGGAAACATGACAGGGGCAAAGCGATACATTTATATGCACAAGATAGATAAGGTAAAGATCCTGAAAAACATCAGCAGGTTTTTGAAATGAGCAGTTAATTGGTAGGATTCTCACCCTGACTTAAATATATATGCTGATACCTGTGAACTTAGCAACTTCACTGAAGATAGCAATGTGTAATAGTACTTTCATGCTTGGAATGCCTGTCATTCTGGTCTTCTAAATATATACTGCTTAGCATGACATACCAATTATTACCATACTGTCTCTCAAGTAAATGTTTGTTTAAAAAATAGTGTATTAATGAAAAAAGAGACAAGAAAAAGAAGTCACTGGACCCTCCTGCTACAATGCTGTATATGCTTATATTTCTAAATTTCTGTGTAAAAATATATGTTTATTAATTTTTTAATTTTTTAAAATTATTTTCTTCATATTCTATAGGGATTTAAAGTTCAACATCTTAATACTTGATGGAAAATACCTGTTCCATGTTATGCCTAAAATGTTTGAATATTCAGACAGATAGTTAGGTTAAATCCAACTGCATATGTTGTAGGGTTTCAGGCTTTCATAGAGAGCAAATTCATCAAGCAATGGCCGTGACCCATCCACATGGATGACACTGACAAAGGACCTACAAACTGAGGTACAGGGTTTCAGGATAAATCCTGAGGGGACTTCACTGACCTTAAAAGATACAAAAGTTACATTTCTTGTTATATAGGTCTTGCTTTATCTTGGTCTTAGCCATCCAGCAGAAAAGTATAAACATGAAGTATAAAAAGTAAAGCCATATTAATATGCTGAGATGTAAAAGGCTCAAGTCAACAACTTCTGACATTGCCAGTCCTGCAGATAACCCACTACTATTATGGACTACCAGACTATTTTGGATTATTTTGCTGAATTCACACACCTACAATATTTAAATTACAATGGAATACCCCTCTCTGACAAAACTAAACAAAAAAAGGGGATACAAATGAATGACCATTTTGTATCTGTATATACAAAATAGTTAGGATAGATATACAGCTACTTTCTCTTAATTCAGTGAGAAGAAAGATTTGTACTAATAGTGTTTGGATAGGATATCATGTCTGCATCTTGTACTATGAATAACCACTAAGAAGATAAAAATATGCAATGTATTAATTACTGAAACTGTCCTACTAACCTGTTTTCAAACTCTCATTGCTATTTGTATCTCAATAAAATTATTTAAAAATTAAATTAAATTAAAATTCTACTTTTCTCTACAATTCCAAGGCCAACTGGGAGATCCCTCTTTATTTTCTCATGCATTTTTAAATCTACGGAAGGGAATACCACTACTGTGTAAATCAGCAGAAAAAGAAAAAGCATCGCCATCTTGTGGCTTTTCCAGGAATGATTCCTTAGACCTTTGCACTACCTGAATGTCTTGATGCCGGTTCATAATCACCCTCTGCAACCTAAAACTCGCCAGTGCATCTCCAGAAATGCACAGTGCAACACTTGGAGCCATAGGCCCGAGAGGCAACCTAGAAGAGCACCTTCGTTTACTGCTGAGGAAAACTGAGTCCAAAGATGTGAGAGGCTTGACTTACACCAGTGCCAGAGTTAGGCGATAGGTCTCTGGAACTCTTTTCAATGTTAGGGCCGGAGTTCACAAACACTGTTTGGAAGTCAAATTTTCTTTTAAAAATCAAACTTATGTCAGTGCCTTTCTGTCCTGACACTGCTGAAAAACCACATACAGAAGTTTATGAGGCTGCAACAGAGGAGGGCTATACAGGATATACTACCTCTTTGTGCATTCAAGCAAGAAGAAACACAGTATACAATTTCATGATAAAACGATACCCTAATTGTTCCTTTTTATTTCTCAATGATAAGCTTATTCTTCAGGTCCTACGTTTCACTACAAAGGAACATGAAATACTGGACATTGCCAGGAGCTACAGGTTTATTCTGCCTCCTGCAGCTGTAAGACTTTTTGAGTTCTTGCCCTAATGTCACTGCTCCAGCAAGATCCACGTGATTGGAGTTCTTTCTGTGCTACTGTTGATAAAAATTTTAAGGACAATATTTTTCCTGGAAAATCACAATATACAATATATCTATTTTTAAAAATTTAATATGCCTTTCCCCTGCAAAGCCAAGAAACTTTGAAAATCTTCCAGGAACTAAATAGTTGCATGCCCTTTATGGCACACTGAACATTCTCTGAAATGTTCATTTTTGACATCTGTAGACACAAAACTGGCTTTGGTGCCAAACTGACCTTATATTAAGCCATGACAACATAGGTGTTGTGCCTCCACCAATGATCCAGACAGTGAAGAAGACGATGAGGAGGGTGGTTGTGAACATCATCTGGCGAGCGTAAGATGCTGTGTCCCGGATGGCCAGTGCAAATGCCATTGCCCCTCGGAGGCCTGCAGGGACCAAAAGAAAGATCTACTGGTGACAACTGATAATGGTTCCTAAAAATCGCTGCTGCTGCTTGAGGCTAATAAACTCCAGTCATTTGTACTTTGAGAGCCTAGCTGTTTTACTCAGAAAGAGCTCAAAAGGTAGTTTTCAGATATATATATATACATATATATATATATATATATATATATATATATATATATATATATATATATATATATATCCTTCATTAACATCCCCTTTTTTGTTTAATTTTGTCAGAGATGGGTATTCCATCACCATTTAAATATTATAGGTACGTGAATTCAGCAAAATAATCCAATATAGTCCAGTAGTCCATAATAGTAGTGGGTTATCCATAGGATTGGCAATGTCAGAAGTTGTTGACTTGAGCAGCCTTTTACAGCTCAGCATATCAATATGGCTTTACTTCTTATACCTCATTTTTATACTTTACTGCTAGATGGTTAAGACCAAGATAAAGCAAGACCTATATAACAAGAAATGTAACTTTTGTATCCGATAAGGTCAGTCAAATCCCCTCAGGATTTATACTGAAACCGTGTACCACAGTTTTGTAGATCCTTTGTCAGTGTCAGCCATGTGGATGAGTCATGGCCATTGCTTAACCAATTTGCTCTCTATATCTGTATATACAAAATAGGATAGATATACAGCTACTTTTTCTTAATTCAATGAGAAAAAAGATTTGTACTAATAGTGTTTGGACAGGATATTATGTCTGCATCTTGTACTATGAATAACTACTACGAAGACAACAATATGCAATGTATTAATTATTGAAACTGTCCTACTAGCCTGTTTTGAAACTGTCTCATTGCTATTTGTTTCTCTATAAAGTTAATAAAAAAGGTAGTTTTCTCCATTTTGAAGCTGTCTTTAACAAAGTTCCCAAACACAATGAGAAGTACTGAGCACTGCTCTATACAGCATATTTTAGAATACTAACACCTTATTAAATGATTTGCCTGCTACTAACCTCGAGTAAAACAAATATAAATGAGTAATGCTAACATAAAATCTCTAAGTCTGTGATCCAACACAACCCAAATACTACACAGTCAAAATCATCTTAAACGACAGGTAAGGTTGAATATATCAAGTGCACATTTGTGAAAAAAAGTAGTATTTCTTTAGCAAAAGGAGAAGCCACATAAATAAATAAAAAATGGCCTAACCTACATCAGAAGGTGACAGCTGCTCAAAAAACATTTATTTTAGTATATATTTGTGATACATAATGAATATATTCATTGCCTAGTATTGCTACATATAAATATAGCATCTACATTGCTAAAGAGTCAGATGTTAAATATTTTAGATTTTTTTGAGACATGTTCTCCTATGTACTCCAGGTTGGCCTTGAGCTCACTGTGAAGCCAAGGCTGCCCTTGAATTTGTGGCAATCCTCCTACCTCAGTATTCCTAGTGCTGGAATTACAGATGTGCACTACCACACCCAGCTTAAATATTTTGGTTTGGTGGTGCAAGAAGAATAATCAAGGATATTGTATAAGTATTTATGTAAAAGATCAAAAACAGATTGCCAGATACTGTTATTGGAAAAAATCAAGATATAACAACAGTAACTGAGTACACTTTGTTGCAATACAGGTCTACCAATGAAAGAATAGGATTCTTTGGAGACGGGGACATTTTGCTTAGTTGGGTTTCAAAGTTTATGTTCTTTATCATCAAATAAAGTGCAAATACTCATCTGAAAAAAAGGCATTCTTAGCTGGTGGGGCATATAAACACAAGCAGCAGCCAGCTTTAGCCAAGGAGCTATAGTTTGCTGATATGTGATCTACATTAATGGGTTTTAGATTAACACCAACCTTTTAATGTTTCAGAGCATAGCATTCTAAACTCTTGTTCTATCCCTATGCCATGCTCAGCATTTGTTTTATAGAGAAGATAGAATCCAGTCTTCAGAACATATTTAGCATTGTATATGAGTTATGATCACAATGTACAGTTAATGTTTAAATTTTTAAAAATCGATTACAGTAAAAAACACATTGCTATTAACTCCCTCAAAATACTCCCCTTAGCTTCAAACACATTTATCCCACCAGTCCTGCCACCTTTCTGAAGCAATTCTGAAAGTTACTTTTTATTATCTTTATGAGAAGTGATTAAAAATTCAGTGAATGATGCTGCCAATTGTCTTCCAACAGGTGCATAAAAAGACTACACTATGTCCTCATCCATCTCACTCACCAGATCTGGTACCATGCAGCTTCTGGGTCTTCTGCAAAGTGAAAATGACCATGAAAGGTAAATGCTTTAAATTAACTCAGGACATTGATGCAGCCATAATGGTGCAATTATAGACACTCATGAAAGTAGACTTCCAGAACTGCTTTAGAAAGTGGCAAGAATGGGATAAGTGTGTTCAAAGTGAAGGGCAATATTCTGAAGGTGATTAACGAAATGCATCTTTTACTAAATAATTTCTTAAAAATTAAACACTCATCAAAAATTTTTAAAATTAATTTTATTGAGAAACAAATAGCAATGAAGGCTCTATGAACACACTTAGCCACCTTCTCTTTAACAAAGGGGCCAAACATGCTTACTGGAAGAAAGATAGCCTGTTTAACAAATGGTCCTGGAAAAACTGGCTCTCTACATGCCGAAAGTTAAAATTTGACCCAGGTCTATCACCATGCACTAAGCTAAAGACAGAATGGATTAAAGAGCTAAACATCAAAACAGAAACACTGAATCTCCTGGAAGAGAAAGTAGGAGGAACTCTTGAAGACATAAGGGTAGGCAAAGAGTTCATGGACAGAAATCAAATCACATGGGTAATACTTGAAAGAATTAACAACTGGGACCTCCACTTATTGAGAAGTTTTTGCACATCGAAAGAAATTACCAACAAAGTAAAAAGACAACCCACAAATTTGGAAAAAATCTGGACTAATAAGCACTTAGACAAAGGTCTGCTCTCTAGAATTTATAAAGAACTAAAAGAAAGTAGGGCCCCAAAATTTAAAAACCTAATCCAGAAATGGGCATCCAAGGGGGCTGGAGAGATGGCTCAGTGGTCTAAAGCACCTACTTGGAACAAGCTTGGCAAAGCACAGGGACTGCGGTTCAATCCCCCAGCACCACATGCCAG